TCTCCTCTGAACCTGCCTGCGCGCTCAGGGGTGACAGTGGCAAGGCCAGCTGGGGGGACGCTGGACGCGAAGAGGTTCTTCCCAGCATCCAGGCAGCTCCGGTGACCACTGGGGTCCCCATCCTTCCTCCCACTGGCAGCCCTTCTCCTTCCCTTCTGCTCTTGGACCCTCACCAGGGTCTTCTCGCCCTGTGGCTACTACTGAGGCCTTGGAGGTGGCGTCCAGGGATGAGGGGTGAGCAGGGAGCAGGCGTCCGAGCGAAAGGGCAGGCTCCTCCGGGGGCGCCAGCAGGATTTTGGAGCTGGAGGAGGAGGAGGAGGCTTCTGGCACCGGTGCGACGGGAGTCGGGATATAGGGTCCTTCCCTTGAGAGAGTTGCCGTTCGCCTGCCCCGTTTCCACCCAGTCGAGTTTCCGGTGTGTCCCGTGTCGGTCCTGCAGCCACTCCGAGCCCATCCGTCAGGTCAGTGCCACCGGGGTGCCCGTCCCGGTGCCAGCGCCATGTTTTTGGGGTTCGCAGGGCTCGTGGCTGCGGCGCAGCCGGGGACTGCACTGCAGTGAAAGACGGCTGCCTGCACCTCTTTCTTGTTTTTTTTTTTTTCTCTTCTCATTCCCCTTTTCATTTCAACATGAGGCCCTCAAAATCGAGCAGCTGAAGGCTCACGGTCTCTTAAAATAAAAACAAACCCAATTGGAGACTCCCACGAGGCCTCAGAAACCCGACAAGATGGAGGTTTCCACTCCCGCTCGGAGCAGAAACGTCGCAGCCACGTTCCTTGGTCGTCACCACAGATGCTCCAGCCCAGCCCGTCGCGGAGCCCTAACCGCCTCCGCGGTCCCCCGCACATTGTAAATAGCGTCTGCAGTGGCATCGCCTGCCGGTACTTTGGACTCCCTGCCATCCCCCCGGCCTGTGGGCGCGCGAACTGCTGCGGGAGCACCAGGTTTGCAAACAAAAACCGAGGGGGGGGAAAAAAAAAAAAAAGAAACTCCTTCAACACGAGCACAATATTCGTATGTTGAGTTTTTTTTGTAAAAGGATCCAATAAATGGAGAGTTTAACTTGAGAGCGTCTCCGTGTCTGCCTTGCTGGTGGCCTCGGGAACCACGCTGGCCCTTGCAGCCCACAGAGCTGCTCCTCTGGCCGGTGGGTCCCCGTGCCACGCAGGTGCACCACCAGTGTCCCAGTGAGCAGGACCAGGGGCCTGGCTGTGTCTGTAAGGCATGGGGACGGGCTAGCCATGTCTTCTGCAGGCCACAAGACCTGGTGATGGCTCCCCAAGTGATGGGGCCCAGGTGATGGATCAGTGGTGACGAGTCCCCAAGTGGTGGGTCCCCAGCTGATGGGTCCCAGGTGATGGATCTGCAATTGAGGGGTTCCAGGTGATGGGTCCTTGTAATGGGTCCCAGGTGATGGGGTCGTTGCCCTGGAGTAAACCTCTTTCACACATAGCTTGTGGGAGAGACAGGCCAGAGACAGCCCCACCCCCCCCCACCGGGGAGCCCCCCCCCCCCCAACGTTCCTGCAGCCTCTTTCCCAGCAGATAGACAGGGACTTGTCCTGCCTGGCTTACGCTCACCAGCACTCCACACCCTGGCTTTGGCATGCGGCTGAGCACAAACCTGTCTACCCTCGGCTGCCTGGCACCTCCAAAAGGAAGAACCCCACTGTCTGGCTCCAGCCTCCCACCATCGGTCACATCCGAGTCCCCAGGGAGGCGACGCTGGTGCGGCTCAGGGTACCCATGAGATGGCATCGGGGCCAGCTGGCCCCACGGACACCGCACTGGGGCAGGGTGTAGGAGAGCGTATGAACCTGGCGTGGACTGAACTTGTCCCATTGTTATAAGGCTAATACTACTAGAAAGACAACATTAAATTCTTCTTTCCATCCAGGAACGTGCGGGCTATAAAACCCCCGCAAGGGCAGAATGCTGATTTTAACCTTTTCTCCCCATTAGCGTGTGGCCCGACGGCTGCACCATGGTGTCGCAGGACCCCGTGGGATGGGAAACATGCTGAGACGGGCTCAGCCGGGGGGCCACGCTGCAGCCCTGCAAATGAGCTGCTCAAGGAGCAGCCCGGCTGCAAACGAGGCTGTTTGCGTTTAATTAGTGAGAGCGGCACAGAGAGGCTGAGGACGCTCCGGGACACGGGGCTCCGGAGTGGCACATGGTTGTGGGCACTGGAGATGGCCACCGAGCTCTGGCTGGCCAAAGAGGATTTTCATGGCTGGAAAAAAACAGCCAGTGAAAGCAACTATCTTTGCTGCTCTCTGTCCATTGAAATGATGTCTCTGGGTAAAACATGTTTGCCCTCCATCTTCTTCCACCTGCTCCATCCGCATCTCCCCTGGGCTGCCATGGTTACCTCTGCGGGACTGACCCAGCCAGAGGAAACAGTGTTTACGTGTCTTCCTCTGCGCCCAACAAACGAGCACGTATTTTGCTGGGTTAATTAAGATTTTTTTCATTAAAGAGCCCTCCCTCCCGCCCCGAATGGGTTTTTTTTTTTTCCCCCCCTGCAGGTGCAATGTTTCCCTTTGTAAGAAAGAGCGGGGTCAGTTCTCGGCTGCTGGGCAGGGGAGATGTTTTCCAGCCCACCCACCTTCACGCCACCAGGCCTTTAGTATGCGCTCTGCCGCGGCGGCTTTCGGCTGTGGGTCTCAAAGCAGGCTGCGGAGGAGGCTGGCCTGATTGCTGGGCAGCAACACGGCCAAAACCACCCATCGGGGCAGGAATCGGCCCCCTCCGCCACATGTCTCTCTAGCTCTGGCCGTTACTGAGGTTTCCATGGAGGGCATTTCCCTTTACACTCTGCCTTGCTGACATCAGGCCCCAAAATAACCTCCTCAGGGTGAATTTTTTCTTGGATTTTGTAATACTCAGTCGCTCCAGCATGGCCTCCGCCAAGAGGAGCCCGCTGCCTTTGTGGCCGGGGGGGGGGGGGCCCCCCCCCGAGCGCGGTGAAGGTTGCCGCAAGCACTAATGCACAGCCTTGGAGCGGAGGCTCTGGCTTCTCAAAGGTAAAATCCTCTATAATTATAAATGCAAATTAGTATATTCACAAAAACGAAGGCGCTGGAGCTTTGGGACCAAGGCCGGGCTGGTCTGCTTAACAAGGAGAAAGACGCTTTGAAGGACTCATATATTACTAAGCACATCCTCGCCTCTCCCTTCCCCACCGCCTCCTCAGCCCAGCGGAGTTTATCACACGGCCTGTGTGTGTTAAGAATAATCTTTTTGGCCATTTAATTATAAGGTGAAATATGTCCAATCCTTTTATTCCATTTTCAAGTGATGATAAAGAAGCTGAACTACTGCAACCCTTGTAAACTCTTATTAGGATTAATGCTGCTGCAACAAGCTTTTTTTATTACCTTAATGATACTATTTCTCCCACGCCCATGACACACGCACAGAACAAAAGTCCGGCGGCTGGAGTGTGTACGGCCAATCAAATAGGAGTCCTTAATGTATAGGAAATATCACGTGGAAACTGCAAGAACAAATAGTTTTTATTACAGAGCTGTGCTTCCACTGCCTCAGCCTCCCCACAGCTATAAAGCGAAGGCGCAGGTATATTTTACAAATGTGTACGCACAGCACACGCGGATGCGGGCTGGGCACGCAGACGCTTTTATAAACCACAGAAATGTGCTTCCTCCTTGGCAGTCTTACTACGCTTTTTATTTTTAACACCAAATAAATACAAAACAATCCCATAAAAAAAAAAAAAAGAAACAGCAGTAAATCAGCCTTAGAAATCAGCTGCTTTTAAAAGCATTACTATCAACTAAGTTTAGGCCCCAAATACATGATGCTGGGAGTGAAAAGCCTCCCCGGATCTGCAATACGGATGGCTTTGTACCAATGACTCCCAGTATTTCAACCAGGATTTTGAAATGTGCGGGCTGAAAGGACAGGTTTTTGGAAGGTAGAAACAAGAGGCACTTAAATCGCCAAGGTTTTTCATGAGCATTAGGAGTTTAATTACTGCATGTACTTTTGAAAGCCTCCCCACCCCAGCTAGGCTTCGAGGTCCCAGATTCATGCCACGTACCCTTACATACCTAACGGAAACAGCTCAGGCAGGAGCGAAGTTTCCTCGGCTCCCGCAATAGCCAAGAGAGACGGGGCACGGCGAGAGGGCCAGGCACCCCCCCGTAACTGCAACCCCTCCCTGCGGTACCTCTCTCTCCGCTGACGATGGAGGGAGCCACAAGCAACCGGTTTTCCAGTCCGGGTGTCTCAGAAAAGCACCTAGAGCTGCGTGGATGAATCTCGTCGTAACAAACTAGGCTGCTGCGTCAATAAACACCTTGCTTTTCTCCAGTGTAAAGCTTTTCCAAAATCCCTCTGCTTTTAGGTGGAAGAGCCAGGTTCTTGCCACTGCAAAGCTCCTCCACGTACGTGTCCAGCGTAAGCCCCTTTTTTTCTGTTTTTATTTTGAGAATCTTTGCCTTAACAACTTTCCCATTGCTGCTTGTGCCGCCGCCCGTGAAACGCACGCACACAGACAGTGTAAATGGAGAAGGACATACAGGAAACTGGATCTGGTGACTGGGAAGAGGCAGCATGGAGAAAAATAAATCTCTTAATATCTGAGGCCATTGCTTCAGTATTCCTGCAAAGAGTTTCTTCAGGCAGAGGACTGGGGCACACGTTGCTGTAGGGGGTCACACAGAGAAACGTCTGCTCCTGCACACAATTTCACCCTGACCTTGTAAATATACGCGGTTTTTATTTACTCAGCAGTCCATGTCTCCTAAAGGGTCCAGCACTCAGCTTTACAGCACAGGAATCCCCTTCAAAGTATTCCAAAACTGGTTAAAAATAAAATTAAAAAATATATAGATATTAAAAATACATCCTCGCTTCCTCATGAAAGGGGAGGAGGTTTCTGGTCTCTTTGAATCAGGGGAGTCTCTCTGGAGTCACCCCCTGGAAAGCTCTGAGCTCTGGTGCTCTGGAGTGTCTCCTTACAGAGCAGCAGGATGTCCATGGGCTAAAATTTCTGCAGAAATTTGAGAACCAGATCACGCAGCTTCACCCTCAGAGGTTCATCGTTGTCGCAGATGATGTGCGTAGAGTCCTCCTCGATCTGAATGAGAGTTTCTGCCTCCTGCAGGAGTACGATGTGGCCCTTGGCCGTGTCCTCCACCTTTACATCACTGAAACCATGCTAGACAGCGGCGGGAGGGAGGAAAAGAGAGAGCTGTTACTGCCACTCAAGAAAATATGTAGAGGTGAAAGACTGAAGGGGCAAGGAGGAGGGGAGAGGGGCAGAAGGGATAAAAACCACATAGTGGTACTGCAGAAATCCTAGATCTCTGGGATCTGCACAGGAAACACCCATAGGATAAGCTAAATATGACCCTCATTATACAGATGGACGAACTACTTGTACAGGGAGGCTGGGGCCAAAATTTTCCACTAGGCCAGTTCACTGCAGCTGCCAAGTTCAAAATCCTGGCCTTGAAAAACAAAGACGACAAATAGCTCTCTCGACTTTAACTACAAAAATGGGCATCCACTGGGAGATGAAGGTTTTAATCACCAGGCATTACCGCTTCAAGGAAGACGATATCGGAGACCTACTGAATCCCTGGGTAAACTTCCTCACAGAAAACCCTGCCCTTGTTCCTACTCGTTTTCTCCATGGAATCAAGGAAGGTAGAAGAGGGTTTCACAGACCACTAACCAACCGTCCATGCGTTCAACCAGCAAACTCTCTGTCCTGCAGCTCTCTGGAAAGCTTTTCTATCAGTCGTGGCATTTACCGGATGTCGTCTTCATTCTGACTGTCACACCCATTTTCACAAAACTTGTAGGCAATTACATTCTTTTGAGATCTCCTCCCAACCGTTCAAATTTATTGGAAATCAACTGATGGGTCCAAAAGACGCTTGGGGAAAACTGTCCCTCCAGAGTGACCCCCCAAAACTCTGCTTCCATAGGAAACCAGGAGGAAATGGCTGACATGAAGGACCTTCATCAGGACATGCCTCCACAGGGAAATACTCCCTCCGTGTTCAGCGCAGGGATACACATTCCCCAAAGTATTTTGCCAGCTCATTAGTTCCTCTGCATTTCAAGACACATTGAAATTATTTCTCCCCTCTCTGCTAGCAAATCAGCAGCTTTCTGGGATCTGCAGAAATCCTTCCGAACCCTGCCTGTCACCAAAGGCTTATTACCTTCTCCAGAGTCTGCACAAACTGGTCCACAGGAATGGAGCCACTCAGCAATGGCTTTAGAGGCTTACATTCTGGCACGTCATCACTCACCCGCTTTCTCTTCTTGCTCGCGGGGGGTTGCGGAGGTTTTGGAGGAAGCTGATGGATGAGAAGGTCCACAGTAAGAGAGGGAATCACATCAGCTTATTACAATTTAGCTGGAGTAACAAGCATGTGAGATAGATAGAAAAGGAATATTGATTTTTGTTCTCAGTGACTAACGGGGAATATTGCAGTGCTGGAGGGGAGAGGAGAAACTCAGCCTTGGGCTCCACTGCAGCTCTGCGCGCACAAGACACCATTTCCAGAAAAAAAAAAAAACAAAGCAGTTTTAGTTCAAATGCCTATCATCTCAGAAGGCCTGTCTGACTCAATTCATGGCTGAAGCTCTCTATTCTAGCATTCAGGAACCCTGCAATATTTCCTGCTTTAAAGAGGCCAATTCCTTGAAGATCACAGTCTAAAAGATCCAACAGGTTGGGAAACACTGGCAATTAAGAGCCAGTAACTATCTGGGGAATGAGGGAAATGGGTAATTTTCACCTCAGAAAAGTAAGTCTTTAGGAAGAACTCGAATACAGTCAGGGAGGCGCTGCAGATGCTGCAGACAATGCCTGAAAAGTCACTGGGCTGCGATCCGGGTTTAATTTTGAACACTTCATGGAGATGAAAAACAGATTTCTATAAAACAAACCAGGGGGAAAATTATAGTGTAAAAGTAAGCCCATGCATCCTGTGCCAGGGTAGTCAGGTCGGGGAAGTGTCAGCACAGGTATTTCTCAGCAAACTAGCAACTCGGTCCTTGGGAAAAAGGCGCTGGGGAAAATTTCTCCAAAACGTTGGCAAGATCATCTGCCAGGGACTTGTCTGCACAACGCAGGGGGAATGTGCCTGCAGCAGCCCCAGCGCCTCGCAGCGCTCCAGGTGACAGCCTGCGCTCCCCACCAGCCCCGTGTCTTTCCCCTCGCGTAGCATCATGTCCGGACCTGCTGCAAGGACGTCCCTGTATTTCTTTCAACAGCGAGGGGAGGATGTTTTTCATCCTTGGGAGAGAAAGGCTGCCTGCTGAGGCTCCAGTCCCACAAACAGGGATGCACCTGAGTCACTTTACACAAACAAGCAGTTTCCTTAAAGTCACTGCAGGCCTTCACACACGTATCATGTTACTCGGGTGCATAAATCACTCATGCGGTTCTGTGCAGATGTGAATTTTTGGGGCTTGTCTACACGCAGTTTCATGTAACTCCCAGAGTTCCCATGCTCAGTCAATACTGATAGACACCACTGTGCTGGCTTAGCTTCATCCACACGTGAGGCCTGTGGCAGCTTAGCCTAGGCCTGAGCTTACTTGGTACCAAGAATCAGAGCAGAGAAGGGAGCAAATGAACAACACATTATGGAGAAAACAGCTCAGACCAAATGGATTTTTTTGATTTGTTTAGTGTTGCCTAGTGCATCCAGGGAACTGACTTGGAAAAAGTACAACTGCTTGTCTGCTGTGCACTGATATAAATCCTTAACCAATCTTTCTGCCCCTGCATTGAAGACATCAGCGTTTTGGGCGCTCTTCCCAGTTGTAGTGGGCTGGGCCCAGCCCTGCTGCCCAGTGGGAGAGACAGCAGCATGCAGAGTCTGGCTGCACTGAGTTCCCTGCATGCTCGTGCTTGAAAGAAAGAGGCAACCGGGGCACCTACTGCTCAGCAGGACCTCTAGGCATCGTCTCCCTCTGTGGAGCACTAGCATCAGGAATTGCAGCGTCAGTCTAAAGGAGGTGATAGGGAAGAGAGGGATTTTCTCCTCATTTAACCTTTGGAGTTCACTCTACTTTGTGCAAGGATGAACAAATTGATTCTTGGGGAACAGGGCAACTTCAGGAGGAGTCCCCGCACGTCTCTTAATGTCTTAGGTCATCTCTCCCCTCTGACCCTCGGCTGCAAGCCTGTGAAAATTTGGCTGATGCTGATCCTGGTGTACGAGTTATGGAAGACAGTGGTATGATTTGTAGCCTCTCTTCATGAATAATCTCCCTTCCCCTTTTTATCTAAGCCAGGCACGCGGCCAGTGGAGAGATTTATATGCATCCCACTCTCCATTCCAAGTGTAATTCCTCACTCCTGCACGCCAGGACAAAGCATCTGACTAGGACTCTGCTCCGGTGGGGAAAGAATTGTTAGAGGAGTTGTTTCAGGAGAACAGCTGGGGCCCCAGACAGCAGGAAATCCAGTATAAGGATAGATTTTTCTCCCTCTCCCGTTATACTGTACCTGCAGCACATGCTTGTTGTCTTTAGTATGCAACACAGCAGAAACTGTTGCTAAGGAAATACCAGGCTTAATCTCCAAGGGCACGAGCGAATCTGCAAGCTAAAGTGAAAGAAGGATTTTGTTCAGCAAGTGATAATCTCAAAATTTGTATGAGTCCAGCTGGGATTTAAATGGCAGCATGGTATTTTTAAACAGAGACTAATGACCTGTAAACACAAACCTGCAGGTAGGATGAGAGAGCGCTCCTCTTACCTGCTCAGTCCCCCTTTTGGCTCTCCGAGCTACTGACTTTTATACCATTATCAGAGCAGTGCGAGGCTTTCACTAACCAGGGCAAGTCTCACAGAAAAGGACACTTAAAGAGAAACTGAGTTTAAAAAGGCACTAACTATTTTACTAATAACTCTGATTTGAAAAACTCTTAGTCCAATCTGGCATTATTTATGGTGGATTTATTTATTTACACTGATGGATGACAAAAAATCAAAGCCGATTTCTTCTCAGTTCCTTACTGTTGCAGCATTTGGGCTGCAGAATAGCTGGAAGAAAAGGGTTAGTCCTTAAAAACCCACTGGCTCTGTTGACTGGAGCCAAACTGCTGTTTGGAATTTTTTTTTACAACACTGCAGAGAAACCCTTTCACTGCCTTTTGTATAATTCTCCTCTGAAACAAGTAAAATTTAGACTTGGCTCCAACTTTGAAGTCAACGGCATCTCCCCAGGATCCTCAGCACTCCACAGCACTGAGGGGGCTGGCAGTAAATGTGGAGCAGGCAGTACTGCACCTGCAGAGCCTTGCAGAAGTTCAGCACCTGAGAAGTACCTCTTCCAGCTGTGTTTCCACAGGAACCCTGCAGAAGACAGTGCTCATGAACACAGAAAATGACTCCTCTTTTCACTCCAAGTGAGTTTTTGTGTGCTAGAAACTGGGTGCCCTGGAGTCCTGCCCAGGACTGCAGCGAGGATCTAGTCCTATGCAAACAGGTCTAACTGCCAGAGGCTCAAGGAGTTTCCAAGCGTCATTCCCAGCCAAGCACACTCTATTTTAATCTTCTGTGGATTCAAAGGCAAGGATGAATGAATTGTGCTCTGTATCTGTGGGGAAGCCCCGCAGGTGTCTTGCAAAAGAAAAACGGAAAAGGTTGCTCATGGGTTGTACCACTGGATGGGAGGAATTCTCAGTTGTGAAGACAGGTAACACCTAAAGAAGTAGAATCTACTTTGCTGTTTTTCCCAACGATTGTACCATCAACCCCCTCAGAGCATCAGTTCCTCTCATGTAGAGAGAGCCTCTACAAGCTGATCGTCATCTGATCTCCACTCCCCTTCAAGCACTTGACATCTGCAGTTGGAGCCGGATGTTAAGAAGAGCTTAACCTCCAGGGAGATGAGCTCTTTTGAAACTTCAGACATCTACTTCAGCACTTCATGCAGCAGAGCTCTGTAGAACCAGCTATCATTACTGCTCTGGTAGCAAGGTAACACCAGCTCCCTCTGGCTTGCCAGATGCTCCCGTGCACAAAGCAGGAAAAGAAACTGGACGGATTTTGAAGGAGTAAGATATATTCCTATTTTGGAGACAGGGAAATTAAATTCCCTAGCAAAGGCCATCTAGTGAATTCTTAACAGGATCCAAAACAGGAAAGGGCTTTAGCAGAAAAACTGAACCACACCACTTCTCAAGAAACTCCAGGTACCAACACTTTACTGCCAAGTTGCTGTCTGCTGTAAATTACTACTATGTAGGGGATTACTGTATTCCTGCAAACCTTTAATCCGCATGTTGTGAACAGAGAAGCAACTGGATTTGACTTCAGAAAGCATTCACTTCCGCCTAATCCCAATGCCATCAAAGCAAAAAGGAAAACTTTTCTAATGGCTTCAATGTCAGCAGAGTTCAGCTACCTCTAATCACTTCTGAAAACCTTACCTACCACTATTAAAGCCACAGCTCATGTTTTGAGAGCACCTGCTTGAACTGAAAGGGTTGGACAGATGCTTGTGTTGCAAAAATAAAGGCATTTTAAGGCTGCATTTAGAATCCGTAAATATTGCTCGTATTCAGGCTTGGTGAATCCTAGAAATCAAAATTTCATGGGGCAGTTCAGATTGAGCTCTCTCTGGGACTCTGTTCTTTAAAACAGGGAATCTGTATATAGCCTTCATAGTTTGTTGTTGAAGCCTAAAAGAACGGAAGTTCAACGATAGCCTCTGCTTCAGATTTGTCCTGGGAGCTAAAAGTAGTAATACTTCCAGCAGTGTCATATGCAGCACTTTGCAATGGTCAAAGGCACTTTCCATCCCCACCATCTCCCACAGGAGGAGCTTAATGAAGAATTCATGGGAAAATGGCAAACACTGTAAGGAAAGAGGTCCTTAAAAAACAGAAAAACACTTAGAATAAAAGTACTCTTCTGTCACTTAAGTGCTTTGCTATTATCATTTATGCAGGTATTAACCACAGAGTTGGTAAATCACAACACTTTTTAATTGTTTATAGTCAAACAGACAGTAAGATAGACATTCATTTTTATTTTCTCTAAGCTATTGCCACATCTCACTGCCCTCTCCATGACGTGATCAATCCATTCATGATAGAAGTTCACTGAGCCAAACCAAAAAGGTCATTTAATCACATCCAGTAATTCACTGACCAACCCCAGATAGGACTGCTATCCTCCTCCTGACTGACCTCCTGCACACACAAATCACAGAATTCTTCCAAAGAGCTGGATTAAAGAGACCCTTTTCAGAGAGTGAGCAAATCTGGCCTAGACTCCAAGCCGTGGCAACTCCACTATTTCTTCCTGCAAACGGTTCCAAACTTTAATTTTCCTTGCAGCTAGGAAACTGTGTCTTATTTCAAGGTTGAATTTGTCCAATGTTTGGTTGCTGGAGTTTGTTATACTTTCGTCTGCAAGACTGAAAAGCCCCCCACTATGCAAGAGTAAGCGCTGCTTCTTTCCAGTCATTATCACAACTGTAATGCTACATGCTGGCATCAGGGAAGTCACGAAAACAGAGACACACAGCGCTGAGCACTAACAGCACATTAATCAGTCCCCTGCATATGGATGAGCATACTTGGACTGCCTTAACATTAAGGCAAAACTGTGTGTGTGCGTGCACGTTTTGCCTATTTCAGATGTTTAATTCCTTCTTGTTAAGCAAAGATCAAAACAGAAAAACTCAAAAAGCAAAACTCATTGACTCTGAGAAGCCTGACACTGCAACCATGTGAAGCTCAAAACAGGGGAGGGAGACGCAAGTCAGTTTGGGAAGCTCTGCTCCCATGATTAGAGCTGTCCACCTAAGCTCTCACAGAGTAAACACGCAAACTGCAGCTGAATCTTTCCTGTAGGACTGCACTTTCCACAGCAAAATGAGATCTGACACATATTACGTGAGCCCAAAGACTGTTTCTGGCCAAACTACAGCTGTTTATAAAGAAGAATAAGGCGCACAGGTGAGGTAATACTCTGATGTCTCTCCTAAGGCCTTCATCAGGCAGGGAGCACTCTCCCTAGACCCTAGGTCATATGCTGTCTTCAGTCACCAGTCAAAAATCCTCCTCTTGGCCACAAAGAGCTGAAAATGACTGAGAACGGGATCTGAAACTCTTACTGTAGAAACAAACTGAGGCTGAACAGTCAGTGAGTAGAATCAAGAAAGGACCAGAACGGTAGCTCACCTACAGAGGATTTTCCCCGGGACAGACGTGTGCAGACATACACCAGCCAGTTATTTTAATTACCGTGCTGCAGCTATCCTGGCAGTAGGGAATAGCAGTAATTTCTTCCTCGATTTTTGGGAAGCCTCTCCAAACTTCTCTGCTTTCCCTCTTCCCTCCCTCCCCCAAGTTTTGTAAGTGCATCAGTTCTTGCCTTAAAGTAGAGAGGGTGCAGGAAGGCTGCATCAGCGGGGCGGGGAAAAAACTGAGATGAACTGGATCTTCATCCTCCATAACTGGAGGGATGGGGAACTTGTAGGAATACAGCAAAGGTTATCTGTATTTAAAATCCCCTTAACTTTTAAAATCTGAATTTCGCTGGCGTGTGTACTAGTTTATAGCACATATATTTAGAAAGGGACATAGCTGACTTTTACTTCAGCATTAAATATGTATTTGCCAGATATGCAAACTGCATAAAAATTTCGTCTATGCATTAGAGATAGGAGCCAGAGCTGCAACCGGATCAGTCCACAGAAACCAAAGCCATGCAATAGAGCGGTGAGAGCACTGAGCAGGAAAGGCTCCTTATGAACTCAACACCTTGCAAATCCTTAGAAAAATAAAAGAAAGAATAAAGCTGGAATATATTCCTTGGGGCAGGAACCAGTTTTGTTCAGTGCTTGTGCAACTCCTAGGGCTCAGAAATCCTACTAAGGGATCCATGGCACTACTCACACTGCTGCACCACAATAATACAGTAAACAGAAGGAAAACACATCATGAATTCATCAAAAGTGGATCACGTTTAACTAACGCAACTTCTTTCCCTGGTAAGACAACTGCTGAGGGAAATGGGCCAGCCGCAGTCTGTGCTTCATGAAGCACAAGCAAGGTACCACTTGGGAAATTACAAATAGTGGGTTCCTACAGCAGTCCTGAGGTGGGGACCGCCTGGTTGAAGGAGAGAGAGCCCCAGGCAACTGCCGGGCTGATACTGCAATTCCTCAAGGGTCAAGTCTTGAGCCCAGGCCTGTCCAATCTTTACTAATGGCCTCAGTACAGAATAAGGGGAGTGTTCAGAAGGTATCGCTGAATTTTGCAGAGACGCCCTTAACAGAAAGAAAGTTCAGGCTATCATAGAGAAAAAAACAGATGACCTCAAGTACTGGAGTGAGAAAAACAAGATGAAATTAAATAGCATGAAATGCAAGGCCAGGGACTGGGCTAATGCCGAGAATTTCTGCTGTGAGCTGGCAGCTGCTGGAAATGACAGAGGTGAAGGGTCTAGGTTTATTAGTCCATCCCATGAGAACTGAGAGCTGCAAATGTGACACAGACATGAAAAAGCCAAATGCAACTCCAGAAAATATCAAGTAATTCTAGTAGAGATGAGCTACTGCTATTATACTGGGCCCGGCAAGATCTG